GGAACAGGAAGGAAGGAGTCGGGAATTGCATAGTGAGGAGCAATGTGGTATCAAATATGCAGAGCACCTAAGAGCTTCATGCTACAGTTATCCTCCTTAGGAAAGGAATATTTTGAACTTTCTGGTTGAACATCGATTTATGTTCCACTTTGTTCATGCATGCACAGCCACAGCGGCTGGGTGAGCACCCGGGAGCTCCAGGCCACCAGTAACCCATCCCTCCTCTCCCAGCTGGGCAACACGCTCACCATCATGGCTCGGCAGGAGATCCCGCTCCCCCCTGAAAGCACAGACCACTTGCTGGCCACCTAGGAACTGCTGCCAAAACATCCCACGCTTCTGCTGGGCCCCCTGGAATGACCAGGAAGCCATCCATAGCACGCACACAATTCACTTCTAGAAAAGGAGAGCAGGCTGTGATGAAAGAAGCCATTTGGTTAAAGGTACAGATTAGAGTCTTGTTGGGCCTCTTGTCTCAAGGCATCACATCTCACTTCTTAGTATCTGCCTGGAGGGTTTTTCCCCTCCCACCCAGAGATGTTTACTCATCCTTAAGCTGGGGAAGACCCTGGCTTCTCCTTGGGCCCCAGGTAGGGAGTACTTCAAAGACACCTCCTCTCCCTAGCTAAAAGTAAACCCACCCCCCTCATCTACTCCTGAATCAACAAGTCAAAACACTTCTCTCTTCTTCAAAGGGCTCAGCATGCTATTTCATTGCTGCTAGGAGGCAGAGAAGGTGGGACCAGAAGTGAAGCATGGGTTTATCCACACAGGTACCTGTACCTTGCTCTTATGGGTATCCATCCATTCCTGTCTGCTATCACCCTGCAGCACCCAGAGCTCTTGTGAGCAATGGTTAAGCAGCCCCCTGAGAAAAGGTTTACTCTCAGAAAGGCCAAACTTTTCATGTGAACACTCAGTATTTTCGGGGAACTGCGATGGAAATCCTAACTTAGGATCACTTTAAACCCCATGCACTGTGTCCCCCTCAAAGCACTCAAATGAACATCCTTGCATCTTGGCTGAGATGACTGTACACTGAAAATTAACACCTATCAAATGAAGAAAACTTAAAAGGACAGGAGGGGAAGGGAGCACTCCATCCTTCACATTTGGATACACGGATGCACGCTAAAAATCTTAGCTTGAACCCTTTTATCAGCACATAAAATGAACTCAGTTTAATAATACATACAGGATACAAACACTACAGTTATATTCCCAAGACAGCACGAGAAATTCACAGCCAAGTCTTGATTTGATTTCCTTTACAATTACAATGCAGTCTTGAACACTGGACACAAGAGTCCAACATGCTATTTACATTTCACATTGTGGAGATGTTTGTGTGCTTGGAAGAATTCTCAGTTCCAAAAGAAAGTATCATTCACGCATGATGATGCAGTGGAAATAAACCAAGCCAACCAGACAAGCCGATGACCACATTTGTGCTTCTGAAAAAGTAACATGAAGTGTCTTCACGGATGCAGTCACCTTCAGCTGGAGAAGCTGCCTTCCATTTTGCAGTCAGCAAGGTGTCCAGAGGCCAATCTCATGTCCCCTGAACTCTGGACCCTTTTGTTAGCAACCAGTAACATGAGTAATGTTCTGATAAGGTCAGCTGGGACACACCAAGTGATATGGCCTTGGCATTTTGTCACATTGAAAACAGAGACACAATGGAAGAGAGAGAAGTCTCTACAGCTTTACCTCCTACAGCTTGAAGAGTTTGGACTCCCTCAACCATGAATGCCATCTAGAACAGATGAGTCTTCGCCAGATAGCACCTGCTGTTCACCCGAGAGGGAGGCACAGAGTCTGGGAGATCTTGGCTTCCGAAAGTCCACTCCTCAGACAAAATGTGACCATATGGATGAGACTGATTATGTCGCAGCCGTAAGAATAGGCAAAGGCCATCTGTTCTTCGGCAGATCCGTCCAGACCATGCCACTGCAGAAATGCCACACTGTTGCTCAAGGTTCCAGTAAATAAAAAAAAAAAAAAAGAAAAAAGTAGTAATAATAATAAAACAAAAGAAACCCATTTGTCTGTGTTTCCTATCCAGCGCTCTGCACAGCATGCAGCGGGGCAGCAGAGTTCCAGGATGCTTTACAAAAGTGCAATATCCATGTCAAGTAAAGGAAGTGCTGGCTGGACAAAGGTACACAGCTCACACTGCAGTCACATTATGCTGGCCTCCAGAGAGCAAAATGTTCATCTCCGTCACATTCTTTCCAGTTATATTTTGAAGTCACAGAGCACATATATCTCCACATCTGTGCCTTGCTGCAAAAGCCCCAAACGTTGTCAGAAGTTGTTCTGGGTGTTATGAGTGGAAGGAAGCAGGTCAAGGTGGCTGCTCCATTAGATGCTGCAAACAAAAAGGCATAGGCTCGCTCCCCTGTTATCCCTGCTGCCACAGACAATACCACCATGACAATTTGATCCAACCCACAGTGCAGTCACACGCATGTTCAGGACACATTCTGTATACTGAAAAGCCAATATACAGAAGCACTTGTCTTCACAGGGTTCCTCACACCCTCCAGCCTTCAAAACATTTGCCTTCAGTAAGCAGGACTGGACCACAGATTTTAGGGCAGCTCCCCTAAAATTCATAGTGTAAGTAGCAATGCAAGCACATCCGTGCAAGGAGAGATGATGGTGGAACAACTCAGTCTTAATAAGGATTATATGGCTCTTTCTTCTTTCTTCAAAGTGAGGGGCTGGTCCAGTTCCCCCCAGACAACCATTGTGTGTTTCGGGCCCTGCAAGCTAACCATGCCACACGCTTGCACACCCAGGTGTCCTGGTAGGCTTTAAGACAGGATGGAAAACCTGGTACTCATGAGCCACAGTGTCCTTCCATACCAACCTGTGACCACATTTCCCTGCCCTTGTTATTTGACTACAGAGAGGTATGTTTCAGTGTGAAGCCCAAACATGTCTGAAAGGGCATACTTGGTCCTGAGCAAGAAAATTCTGCTTACAGAGATTTATGGTGAAGTGTGAAGTTTTCTCCAAAACCTTCTTTTCCTGTCTGCATGGTGGCTCTTCCCTTTGAATGGTAATAGCTGACCTACTGCTTTTGCAGTCTATTAGTGGTTTCCAACTTAAGAGGAGTCTCAAAGCTTGCTCTTCCACAGAGCTGGTACCATTTTACAGCAGATACTATCTCACTAGCTAGCTACCTGCTAGGAGCAACTCCTACCTCTCTGCAAGAAGGCAACTGACTTGAGTAAAGGCAGATTGGTAGATCCTGTGTCCCATACAGCAAATGTGGGGTAAACAGACATTGAGTCCAGACATCACTGAGGTGAAGACTAACTGCCTCTGCCAATGGCTCTACTCCACTTTGAGAGAAGGTTCCCACTTTATTTACTCTGCCAGTTATTTAATATAGTGCTCAGCAGCTACACTAAGATGCCCCTTGCTCAGAGCTAAAAAGACAAAAAAGGAACATCATAGTTACCCTACTGAAAGGGCAGTACTCACAGTACCTCCCAAGAGGCAGTCTCCTCTTCCAGTAGGAAGCTGTCAGTGCCCTTCAGAGCACCGCTCTTAGTGGAAAGTACAGCACCAATGGAGGATGTTGCCCTCTGCAGGCACCCAGCTGCCCCTTTGCAAGCCTTGTTCTGCCTCATGTCTGGAAAAATGCCTTACATGTGCCTTAATAAAGTCAGATAGTGGTTAGCAATGTGCCTTGAAATACAAGACAAAATAAAACAGAATAAAATAAAAATTTGTTCTGACAGTCTCAATGTTCTCCAGATGTCATTTGGGTTTCTGGTTCTGGAACCCATAAGAAGATATACTGACAATCTTGTGAGTTTGTTAGGATTGAGGCTCCAAAAACCTCCTTCAATGCCAGTTCAGCAACCCTGTGCTGTACATTATGATTTAAAGAAAAAAAAAAAAGAAAATAAAATAAAGTCCATCAGAGTTCATAGGTCACTCCAGCAGGGAGAGCTTGCATTTGCTATAAATCCATTGGTGCTTCCAGTCTCTTGCTTTTGCAAGCTGACTGTCCCATAAGATCTAGCATCAGAGAGCTGAAACTCTTTAGTGCAAAAATGCCCCCCATAAAGTCTTACTAAGTCTCCTCCTGGAAAAGTTTGGCACCAAGTGGGTGACTGGCTCCTGTGTGATGTGTGTGTCGGCCTACGTAAAGGCAGCACCCAGAATGTCATCTGTGAGTACCTGGGCTTCCCTGACAGAGCAAAGAGGTCAGGTTCAGAGCAATGAACAAGGTGGGACAATGGTGCTGGGACCCCCCTGCTCCTCCTCAAGAATTCACATATTAGATACAAAAACTAAAAATGCATTTTCTCAATAGAATTTTTTAAAAACTTAACCAGGGTAGTGGAATTGTTTGCTCTTGAAGAGCCCTAGGCTTCCAAATTAGTGGATATACAGTGACACTATGAGGCAGGGGTTTCCTTCCTCCCTCACACAGGGCACCGGACCAGAGGACTCCCAAAATGCTGCATCGTGCATTGACTCAGCATTCCCTTGTAGTATGCTAGTCATAGGCACCAAGCCTCTGCTTCTTCAGTGTGTGACAGACTGCTGGTCCCACTGCAGAAGTGAAGGAGATCTACCACCATCTTTCACTGAGTCCCTCTGGGGAACAGAAGGGGGAACAAAAGGGGCAGAAGATATTCACCAACTTTTTCTGATAAGCTACTCTGATAAAGTTGGCTCCAGGCAGGTGGACCCAGTTGCTTGCCTGGGTGCTCTCAGCTGCTTGCCTGCACATGCTCGCTCTCTCACGCACATCAGGTACAAGGTGAAGGCTTATATTCAAAAGGGGCTTCCACTCCAATGGGCAGGTACCAGGTGGAGGGTGGTCTCGACTGGAGAAACAGAAGGAGCTGCACTGGATTTTGGGCAGAACAGCAGGATTGCTCTACAAGGACAGCACAGGGGCACAGCAGTTGGCACATTGTTTAGTCTGACTGCATGTGTGGGTTTTGTTTTTTTGCTTTTGCTTTTTCGTTTTAATGCACACTGCCAGCATCTGGACGAGGTTGGTTGGTGGCGAGGTATTTGGCTCTCATGCTGGAGGTGTACTGGAGGAAGACAAAACAAAAAAAAACAAACCAAAAAGAACAGAAAAGTAAGTCAGAATGACTAATGTAAACGCAGATCCACAGATTATGACCACCTCCCAACATAAAGTTGTCTCTATTTACAGCAAGCATATCAAGGAGCTGCAGGCTCAGTCTGACAAGGAAAGTTTCACCAGTTACTGAGTGGAATATGCAGTAACATACTGTCAGCCTGCTGCAAGGATGCTAGCCAGGTCAGTGCTGATGGGCTAATGATTTATCCCAGCTCTCTACAGAGAAGGAAATCCAACAGTCACAGAGTTGAAATTTGCCATCCTTTGCCTGGGAGAAGAGAAGGAAATAAAAATGATGCGGATGTAAAAACCCACCTCACACCTTCATCCTCTCAGTCATGTTGTTGCTTTCAACCAGGCCAGAAAAGGAGGTTGAAAAGAAAATGTGGGTACACTGCATTTTTACATTGCATTTTATGGCAATGAGGGCATCAGAAGACTGCATGCATCACAGATGGGCAGTTTGAAAGAAAAGTGTGGAAGAATGAATCTCTGTGAACAATTTACACCCAAGAAAGAACAGACCCCATCTGGCTCGAAACAGGCTGCCATCAAACAAGATGGTATTAAGCTAAGTTATCAGATGGTTAATAAACCACCATGGCTTGGGACCCAACCTGCGTGCCATGCAGCAGTAGGCAAGATTCCAGCTTCGGAGTGAGAAGAGGAAGTCAGAAAGAAGGAAGGTTGGTTTGGTTTGGGGGGTGGTTGACTTTCTTTTTTTCTTTTTTATTCTAAGCAAGGTAAGCCAAAACAGCTCCCAGAAGCAAGAACAAAAGAGACTGCCTCTTTATGCCAATGCGTTCAATGTCTTCATCATGACCACATTACTGCTTCTGGGATTCTGCTACCATGATACTAACAACGAAGCAACGAGGACAGACATTTTATTCCTTTTTCTATACCAGCTGGAGCTTGAATAATTCTATAATACCCTCATCTTACTTCCCAAGAGTGCTCTTCAGCATACTCACTTTTTATCACCTTTTAAACTGAACCACATAAAATAGCCAGTTAAGCTGGCAAAGAGAAAACTGAAAGGCAGTTCCACACCAGGAGGTATGATTTATCTTGCCCACTGGGAAAGAACATTATGAAGCATCTTTAGGATTTCAAAAGCTCAGCTGTCCAAAGGGTTTTTCAGAGAATTAACAGTATTTTATCAGTTTTCCTTCAAAGACTGACACAGGCTGAACCTCTGCACAATAGAAGAGAGAAACTGCTCCTTTGGCAGAGCTGACCCCATTGGTACAAGATGAAGATACCTGTGGCTTACTTGCACACTCATCTTTTAGTGCCTTCCATAATTGGAAAGCTTTCTGCAGCACATGGATCTTAATATATAAAATTCTGGCCCAGAAATGGCATCTATATTTAGAAGACAAAGGGTACATTTGTTCTCTCTCTTTTTAAGATGTATTTTTTTGCCAGTGAGAAGGAAAAAGGTAGAAAATACCATGCGGAACCAGTTTAATGACTGTGTTCTATACAGCTTATTAAATGTGATTACGGTTTCAGAAATAAAGCTTAGGGCATTATTTAAATATATGATACTGACCCAATGGGCTGAGAAAGGCTCAGAAGTCGAAGAACTTTCTCAGAGTAAGTAGGGCATGTTTTAGGAGCAAAATGCTGAAATTGCTAGCTAAGCATGATGTTAAGAAAAGGCTCTTAGAAGGAAAAATACAATCGACTGCTCATTTTCCATTTGTAGTTTATATGTGACATGTGATAGGAGATGGGTATGAACAGAGAACTTCCAGGTGCTAAGGTTTTGTAAGAAGTACTTAAAAAAAAAATCTCAGATCATGGAAGGTTATTGTGCATCTTGCTGGACAAGTCATATAGGTTCAGAGCACAACATGCAAAATTAACTTTCTTTAGAGCATTAAAAACAAGAAGAGCCACTTGATGAGCTGTATTTCAAGGATGTACAAAGTACATCCACCATTAAGGGAGAAGTTGAAAAGAATTAATTTCTTCCTCCACCAAGAAAACACCCCACAGTTGTTTAAGTGTCAGTAAAACAAAAGTAATCAGGAACATGAGATCTGGACAGTCAAGCAGAGGGCATTTTACATTCAAACCTACCTGCAATCCACCACAAGGAACAAATCAAGACCCAAAGTAGTCAGAGTTAGGGCTGATGTTCTCTCCTTAACTCACGATTTTTGCACCTTTGTACCTCTTCCCATTACAGTTTGAACCAGTTACTCCTTCTGTTAAAGTGTATTTTTAATGACCATGACAAGTATGATTGAAACCTGGACACAGAGAGCTAACACTTCCCTGCACGCCTCCCATAACCAGCCCAGCTCTATCAACGTGCACTGGATCTTAAGCCACTGCATCAGACTCTGTGTATGAATGCCTTGCTCCACACGTACTTTACAGTAGTGCCTCATCCAAGGCCTTCAGTGCATCCTCCGCTGGGAAGCAGAGGAAAGATGCTGTGGAACACACAGGTCTCAAAAGCTGGACAGGCCAACAGATGAAGATGTATCAGCAGAAAATTGCCAGTCACATGGATATGAAATCAAGCTACATTATCCATAGTTAAAATAAGTCTCTACCTCCTTTAAAAGCAATTCTAAAGACTTAAAGCCTGAGCACAAGTCAGAGCTAAAGAGGTCTTGGACTCTACTCCGAGGTAACCTGGATACGGTGCCCAACACAGCTCTAAGGTACACAGTTGCATTTAGTTTCCTTTTAAGAGGAGCTTTCATAGAAGGTTAAAGAACATGCACAATGCATTCATTCTTCCAGCACTCTGGCTGGAAGTATCCACGTGCCTACACACCCTCATATACCTTTTCAAAAACAGCACGCAGGACAAGTTTGAACCTGTACCTTCACCACACTGTCCTAAAAAAAGTACCTAAAAAGACTTCTTGTTATCGTTTTTCCTGGTGGCTTGTGCTATTCGACACAGCACACCTCTCAGTCACTTACCAGTCAGCTAGGACAAACACAGCTGATTGCACAGGTTTATTTCTGTATTTCTCCAAAGGAAAAAAAAAAGTCTCTCCTTCACATTCAGCCTTGTTGAGAGTATAAACTTTCATAGGCATGGTTTGCCAGCACATACTAGTTAGGTACACATATAGCCTGTGTACAAAGGAATCATTGGTTGCAGGAAAAAAAAAAGGAATAATCAGTTAATTTTAGAGACCATAAATTCTACCAACTCCTGTGAACTGTGCAGACCACAAGTACTTCACAGCTAACTGAGTTATGCTGGAAGATCACTTACCATATGAAACCATGACTCTGAGTATAAACTATTTACTATTTGTGGTCAAAATTCCCACATGTATATCTCTTCAGCTACCCTGACTTTGATTTCCTGCCAGGGTAATCTAATAAAGACCAAAGCTTCTGGATTCAAGTTCTTAAAGGTTGTTCCATCTCTCAAATAGCTAGCACACAGTAAACACACAGGGTTTGGTATCATTAAGTATGGGAGGTATAAGATGCAGGGAAACAGCCAATTCCAGCCAGCGGGTTCTGAATTCAAAGTGACTTAAGTTTTCAAAGTCAAAAGAACAGAGTTTCTGCTTGTTTTGTTTGTTGTTGAAGTCTTGGAAAGAATGCCATGCCTTTTTCCTAGTCCCGCAGACAGGCAGTTTAAACTCTGGGTGTGACCTTAGGTAAAGAGAAGGCCATGCAGACTGAGATCAGGTCATGTTTCAGCCCAGAGATTTCAAGCCCAGAATGAAGACACTAGAGTTTCCCTCCCACAAGCAATATTTTATTTCATGGAAGAGACCCATCTAACATCACCACAATACTACCTGCAGGTACCAAAAAGCAGAAAATCCACCATAAGCTGATGCCCAAAAGCAGTCTTTGCAAGACTTAGGACTGAAGAAATTTGTGATCCTTTCAAGAGTGCTAGCACCATGCTTCAAGACAAGTTGGTTTGCTTTCATGCACCATGGCAGAGGGCATCAAGACACTTGATTCAGACAGCACCTTTCCCAGCACATCACAAGGCAGGCAGACAAATGGCAAAAGGCAGCAAGAAAGCAGATCAAGCAGCAACATGATGGAAAGGAATCCAACGCAAGGCTGACAAAAGTCCCAACAAGAATGGCAGAAAAGGAAGAACAGCAGCTTTATAGGCATGTATTTCTGGGAACATGCTAAGACAGGGGTCATTGACTGCATGAGTTAAAAGCAACAGCCCCTCTTTTCCAACTGGAACCGATTCCTTCCAGTTACTGTGTGGCTGTAGTTCCCTTGAAGGAGCACACTGTCCTTCATACCAAATGAGTATAATGAGCCTGGGAGCTCTAATTATACCCTGTATTCAACCAAGCTAAAAACTACAAGGCCTAATGCAGACCACCTATTATTTCTGTCAGCACACAGCTTTGTCTTGGACCCCTGCAAAGGAAGAAACACTGGCTATCTTGCAGGACATCAGCAACTACAGCTCATTAGTTCAGATAGTGAAATGGTACTACGAGGGCTCTGCTCACAGAGCCTGTGGGACATGGATGGGATGGCTTGGACACACACAGAACAAACAAAACAGTAAAAGGTTTTGAAACAGAATGAAATAGATCTTAGTGTTTATGTGCTATCCTTATAGAAGTTGCTTTTGTTTTCATTTGCTTTTTAAACTCACTCCTTTCTGACTTTAAATGCAGGGATAAAAGGAGAAGCTGCACAAAGATCTAACAGGCAATGAAGTAACTCTTCAGGACAGGCCACCATTACCAGCTAGGATCTTTCAAAAAATTGAAAATCCTACTGAGGAGCTTAAAGCATGTGGCAGATAGGCAGCGGTGGTTTAGGGCACATGCTGTTATGACAAGTCAGGACAAACAGAACAGCAGCAGGGCTGAAGGGAACCCAAAAGGTTGAATTAAGACAACCAGTCCCAATTGAAAAGCTGCGAGGTTGGTTCTTGTTACTTCTAGAAAAGGGCTTCTAGTGATGGTAAAGCTTCTTTTCTACATTTGAAGTGCAAGGTTAGTTCTTCATTTGAGCAGAACTCAGTACTAAGTGTTCAAGCTGTTCTCAAGCATGGACTCTTGAGTTGAAGCTGCTGTGAGTTAACCTTTGTAAGGCACGGGTGCCTATAACCCTCACAGGGTGCACCAGAAGCCTTTGGAAGGTTGATACTGCTCCTTGAGTCTGCACCAGAGCAAAACTGCTTGTAATTTTAACCTTTGGCAGGAGGGAATGGGGTGGGAGGTGCAGAGGGAAGGAATGTGAAGAAATAAAAGGCACTGGCCTGGGATAAACAGTGCAGGGATGAAGGGAGCGGTTGGGAGTGGAGAAGGGGTTGAGCAAGAAGGACCTTTTTTCCAGTACCTGTTCCATTTGCGGGCGCTGTTACCAGTATGTCCGTGCACTGTCCGAGGGCTTAAGCTGCCAGCTCATATGGCTGCTACTGTCCATGGCAGCCAAATACAACTGTGATGACGCAAGAAAGAGAGAGAAAAAGAGAGTGCAGCCTCAACGTGCATGAAAAACACAGTGCAAGCAAGTGCAACGCTGTGGTGTGTGTCAGCGACAAGGTGGGCTCTACAACCCTAACGGAATAGCCCTATGGCAAGAAGGAGAAAACAGAAGGAATGAGAGAAGGGAAAAACAAACAAACAAACAAAAAGCCAGGAAAAGTAACGGACAAACAATGCAGCAGGATCATCACATCTTAGTTTTCAACATCTGTTCACAGAAAGCTAAATGGAATATATCAGGTCTGTCCACCCACTGGACATAACCTATTTGGATGGTTATCTCCCTCCCCTCCATAGCCTATTTAGATGGTTGTCTCCCTCCCCTCCTTCCCTAAAAGAGGCAGGGACATGTGCATTGGCACTGCCTTTTCATCTCTCTCCTCCCCCAGATCATTTGCTATGAAAATTACAATTTCTTCTGTCTCTGGTCTCAGCCACCTGCTATAGAGACCTGTGAATACAAAAACCCCAGAAATCCCTGCTGCCTGCAAATATGAGAGTAGGCAGCGTTTTTCTTCTCTCTGCTGCCTGTCCTCTATGCCCCTCCAGAAAATACATTTATCCCATAGCCTGTTCCTTGCCTTGTCTAGGGAGAAGCTCCCCTTGTCTATAGGTGCAGTGCTGCACTCTCCTCCTCTCCCTGCTCCTGTGCTTCTCCTATAGCCCATAGTGATGGCTGCCAAGTCAAGTTACTCTGGAAAAAAAAATAAAATCTCATCCTTATCTCCTCTCAGAAACCAGCCCGAGACACAAGAACTCATAACCCTCCCGCAGGGTATTAATGCAAACAGCTACTGAAGAACTCAGGAACTTCTTGCATAACTAAAGCCCCGCAGAAAGGAGTGTGCTTTCTCTGAAGCAGAAGAGCTACAGGGTAAGGAGAAGCAGGACCTTGGTCTACAGACATTAAATGAATATATGCCTTGGCAGTACCAGAGGGGCAGTGCCCTTCCTACAGCAGGAAACACCAGTGGTAAAGCATTTGCCACATTGTACTGTGTGCGGCACATCAGCTCTTCTTCTGAGGACCATCTTGTTGCCGAGAGCAGATAACACTACCAGAGCTTGCGATCAGAGTACCACCAGGGATCAGAACAGCTCTTTGTGAAGGTTGAAAGAGGTTTGGCCATGTACAGAGAAACATATCAACTCTCTACTTTTCCACTTTCTCTACAGGAAGATGAATTAGTCCTTTTGAAGTGAAAACATGAATGTGATGTCCTCTTTTCCACCACAATTCCTACACCTCCATCCTCCAACCTCCTTTTCCTCCCCTTTCCATGAATTTAAACCATGCACCACAGAGTGTATTTTCTTTACCTATACCTTGAAGACTGGTTGATTATTAAGCATGCTACTACTCATCTTCTGTAATCACACCACCGAGTCAGCGAGCACTGCGATGGCATGTTCTCCAAGTTGCGGTGTAAGGCAGGCTTACAGGATCCACTGAAGGAGGGCAAGATTCATCTAGTTCTTACTCATACATGCAGGCAAGCCCATGTTCTATCCAGCACACAGAAATGGCCCTCAAGCTACTCCAAATACCAAAACCTTCCATGAAAGTTGGGGTTTTTTTTAATTTTTGTTTTCCTCCATAGGAAATTAAATACAAAAATAGGTTCTAAAGAAAGTAAAACAGTTGTGAAAGAAAGATTAAAAAAAATCTCAACAAAAAATAATACAGGTTTCATCCTACCAACTCTTTAGGGCAGATTAAGGAGAGAGGTTCAGCAATAACTCTGAATTTACTGTTTTAACAAGCTTCTTTTCAAACTTGAGGAATCAATGCCACAGATAGCAAGTACACTGCATGCAAGTGAATCATCTTGCTGAAGTTACCCACCAAGATAGTCATGCACTTCAGTGGTGGCAGGACTGGGCCCATAGAATTACCAGTCTTAATAGACCGAGTTTTATTCTTTTTATGTGCAACATCCAAAGTAGCATAGCGGGGTTTTATTCCCCATGGCAGGCGAGACATGGCTTGTCTATTCAAATTGCTGCCATTTATGGGCCAGATCCTGTGTTTGACTGCACAATCAGCTCCCTTGAGAGTATACAGGAGTGGTAAATGTGTGTTTCCCAAAGTTGCTGAAGCAGAGAGGAGCAGTAAAGAGAGACTTACTGAGGGAGGTGGGGACTCCCGGCCAATGAGCGGGGTATTCTCGCAACGGGGATTCTGGAAATTTGCATTCTGGCTCCTAGGAAAGGAAGACACACATGGTAACAGGGGGTATGTGCCATGCTTCTCTGGGGAAGGTCTCTGATGGTGACATGGGACACCCCCACAACTACCCTATCAGGTCAGTCTCCTTCAAAGCTTTTCTCACAGGCCAGGTGGATCCCCCCCTTTTTTCCAGACATGGGCACAAAACCAGTATTATTTTTCTTTAGATTGAGCACTATCTTTACACTCTTACTCAGAAAGGCACACACTGAATCATGTCAGTGATTTAAAAATAGGTCTGTGTGAAAATCTGCCTCCCTGCAGCATCAGAACTGGCAAGCTGCAGAAATGGAGATAAAATGAGGACAAAGTCTAAGAGGAAGAACAAAATGATGCGCCAGCCCAAAAAAGATGGGCCCTGAAGGTAGACTAAGTGTGATCAGGGTTAGGCACTTCTGGAGAAAGCTCTGAAGATCCCACCTGGACTAGGTAGCTCCAGACGGCAACAGGTGTCAGAGCTGACTGCAAATACTGTGGAAGGACAGATCTTACAGGTTTTGTCTTGGCTCTCTGCCTCTCAGAAGGCTTAAAAATCTTCTGTCAAGGCTGCTCTGCCTAAAGAATTAAGTCTTCTGGTGATCAGAATCACTGTGTAAAAAGGAGCCTGGACAATACTTTCCTACTTCTCTAGACAGATTTCTAAATCCTGCAGAACAGAGCTGCCCACATTTTGGAGCATACTGTCTAATACAACTGTTTCTACTGCAGCTCTTCTAAGCTATTTGCTTTTCCCAGTGGATGCCAATCAGAAATCATGCCTTTTGACACTTTGGACTAAATCCTTCATGACTTTCTACTGCTTGGTTGAAAGTGCCAGCCTTGCAGCACTTAGCAACAACAGGAAACAGAGTGAAGGAACCTGGACAAGCCGCAGTACAGCCTTCTTGTCGGGATACTCACATGTACTCTGTGACGGGAGCATTGCTGACTGTGTGTGCTGCTGCTGGAATGCTGGTCTCACTGCCATAACTACTCCCACAGCTATAGAGGCTGGGCATGTGCACTCTGTAAAGATTATCGTGTGTTTGTCTACTCCCTTGAGCAGCTGATTCTTCTTCCCCATCATCATCTGAGCTTCTGCAAGAAGGAGAAAAAGTTCCTCCTAGAACCCTACAATTACCCCACATGTGGGGTTTGCAGGAAACCATGGTAATCCTAGGAACCTCCCAACCATCTTCCACACCTCCACATTTATACCCATTTGGGATGCCTCAGGGTGGCAGTGTCAAACACAGCCTACACCACAGTGAATCAGACCTCCCACAGATACCATCTGGACTTTTACACTGCGTGATCCCCTACAGCCTCCCCATGGTCTTCTCTCAGGCTTGGCAGACAGCACAGTTCTGCAACTGCCCAGTCATACAACAACAGGATGGACACACATCCTGAAATATACAGCACTCAAAAAAAGAAAAAAGAAAGAAAAAAAAAGCATCCCTCAAAACTGCAATGTGTCCTTCCATTTCTTGTAGCCATGTCCAAAGAGCTTTTAAGGATAGGTCTCTGCAGACTTCTCTGAACTCTCATTCTGGTTACAAAGGGTCTGCTTCAGCTTCTAGCAAAATTTCAGAAGTCTTTACAGAGACTAAGTTGCTACATTTGTGTCCAAAGGCTTTATTCTCTCAAAAACACCAAGACTTTAAATCAATTTTAATGCAGAGCAGAGCTGTTCACCAGCGGGTTCTTTCCCCACTTCCCATAGTATTCTCTTGTCCCTCCAATATAATATACACTGCTATTTTATCTCCCTGATTACGGGATGAAGCACCAAGGTTTGAAAGATATTTTAGCAACGCTTGACAAAGCTCGCAAAAGGTTCTAGAGGAAGCACATTTTGTTGGGGTGACAGCATGGCCATCGGTAGAACATCCCAACCACCACCTGCAGCTTCTGTACCACAAGGTGGCACTGAAGGTTTATTCAGGGAATTGCAGCCTGCACGGCCTCTTGCAGGCAATCGAGTGTGACATCCTCCAGCTCCCGGGGGGGTGGCGGTTGGAGGGGGCGCTGGTGTGAAGCAGAGGCAGAAATGATGCTCCAGGGAAAGCAAGAGGGAATCCTTCAGCTCACAGCAGCAGCTTGAGCCTTGTTGGGGTCAGCAGGGCAGGCAGCAGCCCGCATGGAAGGCAGCACAAGAGATCCCACTGCATAAACCTTTCTCCTTAGAATGAGCAGACTACCATTCTCTTGTTGATAATGTCACTGCAGCTGCATGTGGAAAAGGTAAGGAAACCAGCCATTTTCTTAAGTGTTATTCTGATGCATTTCCCAAGCCTTTCTCTGTGAGCACTGCAGGCCTGGCGGGGTCTGGCTTCCTCCTATTGTTTAGGATGTTTCATTTTACTTTGAACATTGAGCCTGGGCTTAGACCACAAAAAAATCATGTTTCAGGAGTACAGAAGAGAACTTGCTGCACCGTCTACTGCTCTTCTGCAAGAGCAGAAAACTCAGTGCTATTTTAACAGCTGCATATAGTGCAGCAGCCAGTCAGTAAAGCCCTGCAAAGGTCTGCTCAAGACTGATCAGCCTGGTTACCATCATCCATACTAATTCCAAAATACTGTGCTGTTAGACGATTGCCACCGGTTTGCAAGTATCTCAGTCTGCCCATGCTATTGCAAACAAGACAGCTCCAGTTTGTGTTAGGTATGCAAGTCAGTCACCACAGTGTGAGCAAAGCCAAGAAAGGCAAGTGTGAACTGCTTCTCATTCCAACTCTCTTCTCCATATTAGAACAAATGCCTCAAAGTAATGCAAGATAATACGTACTTTACAGAGATGGCACATAATTCAACCATTACCTCTCTCTACAGCTATAATCACTCATCTCTGACTTGACTCATACTCTCCTACAGTGTACTGAATACTCTGTACACATAATATTCCAATGCAATAACGTTCAGATGTAAATGTTAACCACAGCCTGAGCAAAAGCCAACAGGTTTTTTTTTCTGTTGGACCTGTGCTTACAAAGCCTCATCTCAGACTCCTGGGATCATATGGGAAAGAGCTCCATATGCTCATGGGCACAAATCCAATAGCCAGTCTTCATTAGGAAAGAGCTCTACAATGCTACAGGATCTAAACCCTCTCTATACCTCTTTTGCTGCCAAGTGTGTGGGACGCTGCACACTATGGAACTGAACATGAGGGCTGTGACAAAGGAGAAGAGAACCAGGTAGATGAGGCCTTCCACTCCATCATAGCAAAAGCCCGTCAAAGCCTGGACGTAATCCTGGAGAGAGAAATGAACAGTTTCCCAATCACTAGAGAGTTAACATTGAGCTCTAATTCAAAAGCCCTTCCCTTGGACTACATTCTCTGAAACAATTTAAGAGATTGTAGTCCCTTTTCCAGAACATATTTCCACTTTAATTTCAAGGATCTTAAGTGTTTTTTGTAATTTATCTAACCCGTATTCGGCCTCACAAAATCCATCATGTATTTACACATGGAAATATTTTCAACCCTACACAATAGGACTATGAGAAAAAAGAAAAAAAGCCAAGACTAACTTACCCACCCAACTTAAGATACCACATTTTTCTTTGCGCCTCTCAGGTCCCTCACTATGTACCATTGCCCGGAAACACAAGCATGGACTATCTGTTTCTCCGTCTTCAGAGACACAGTTAGGGCAACAGTTAGGACATGCTATACTGCAGCTATAAGGCATTCCACTCAATTGGAAAAGGCAGAGCTATATGAAAAAAAACTCTGAAACCTTAAGGCTGCAGCTTGTAGATGTATAAAGGCATACTACCCAGTTTCCTATGCTGAACTTTAAAGAGAGCTTACATGATCCAAATTCCCATTCTCCTTTCTGCTGGAGTCAGTCAGTAAAAGCTGTTGTAAACTGTTTTGGGACACCAGAGATTTGAAACTCTCAAATAATCAGTATGCTACAGGCTCTACACCTCCTTTATTCTTTCTTAGCTCAAGCCCAGTTACTGTGTACTCACCAAATGCAGGCTCCGACAGTCTACTAAAGCTGTCAGTTGCTGCAAGTTGATCTCTGTTGAATTTAAAACCTCCTGGATCCGAGTAAGATACTCCTGTAAGCAACAAGCTAGAGATTATGGCAAGGAAACAGCTCAGCAGGAGCTGATCTTGGGCTTTGTACAAGGGTAAGGGAAGCCAGAAAGCACAGGGAGAGCAAACTTGAGGAGTTACCTTGGAGGTCGGGTGCTCTCTGCTCGCTGACCTCATGAGTTCCATAACATCATCCTGCATTTCCACCAGAGCCTTATGACTTCCTGACAGCTTCTGCTCAATACAAAACATGCAGTGTTTCAGCAATTCAGGACACATACACCAACAGAACTCCTGGGAAACAAGACTTAAGTCCTGCTCCCAAATACTGAAGGATCACCTGTATGAATGGTATAAGTTAAGGATATTTCAATTGACATGGGTGCAGCTGTGATAGGGTTAAGTTTGACTTTTATTACCTGGAAGAAGTACAGACAGAAAGAAGATGGGAAGGGAAAAACCAAAAGACAGAAACAAACCCAAAACATATACACATGCACAAAATCCATACACAGCTGGGGTTGGCTCCAGGACAGAGGGAAAGGAGAAAGAAGGGATACAAAGCACTTATATTCTCACCACAGCAGAGCAGGATTTTTCTACTAAATCAGATGGCTGAGAAAGACTTAATTAATGATAACACTAGAAGTTGTTTGTATTGGGGTGCAGCCTCCACATCCCATTAAAACATTCATGGGAATTTCACATGCAATAGCACGTCAGAGAGCAGAGAGCAGCCAGAAATGCAACAGATGGCAATGGTGCATCATACCACAGCTTGAAGTGTTCTTACCCCACCCTTTAAAACAGAGGAAGACAAGACTTAAAAAAATCCTAAATATAAATGGTGAAGCAGCTGGTGTCTGCCAAATGGTGGGTGGTGTGGGTTCATTCTGGCCTCTGATACATAAGACAAAGTTTGGGATGGGCCCAGGTGCTGTTCCTCAGCCCCCACACAAAAGAATAATGACTCACATTTCTACTCCAGGATACAAACCCTTCAAGATCCAAGGGATTTAAGAGCCGTATGTGAGAATCCCTCCCTTACCCACAGAAGTGGCTGTATTTTGGGAGTGGAGTGTAGCCACTGTTTAAACAAAAAGAACCTGCAAGAAGAGATTCAAAGCAGGAAGTATGTAGTTCCCCACCCTGGCATTAATTGTGGGTGCTCTGTCTCCACATTGCTGCCATTAGAAGAGCGCCATGTAAACAGAGGTACCACAAACAAAACCATGGTCCTCACCACATCACACGTGGGCCCCTCTAGGAGGCCATTCTGGACTTGAAGCTATTCAGGTAGTGATGAAGGTGGAAAAAGCTGCTCACTAAATTGCAGTGTCACCTCTTGCACAGCTGGAGAGTAGCTACCACAGAGCTTTACCAACAGGCAGAAGCTAACACCTTGCAACTTGCTGCATACTGGCATCAAAAGCCTTTAACCTATACCCTGCAGGATGCTGAGAAAGTGTGAAAGGAGCTAAGATGCTCGCACTTACCTGCTGGAAAGGGTTGGGGTATCCAGCACTACAGGTAATGTAATAGCGGAGAGTATCTGCAAAGACAAAAGAAAAGAAAGTCACGTTAGATACGTTGTTCCAGCTTTGCAGTATTTTACAACTGCCACAAGGGAAGTGTTAAGTTCCGAAAGCAATACAGAAAATGAAAATGTAATATAAATGGAATCACTTCCCTCTCTCCGTGTAGGATTACACTGCATGGATGGCACTAGAGAAAGGGATGTAACCTGCCTTTGGGGAGAAAAAAAGATTTGGGGGGGCTTTTGTTTAGTTGTTTTGGGGTTGTTTTTTTTTTTTTGAACAGTGAAAGGCAATGGAGCTGTCCCACTTAAAATAGATGAAACATCAAAAAATTTTATTCAGAAGTCAGCACTACCCACATTATAGATATAAGACAAGACCTCAGTCTAGGATAAATTCAGCTGCATGTTTAATTTCTGCAGCTTCCAACAGTCACAGTATCATTCGATGGTCACCGAAAGCAACCACAGACTGCTGCCTAGGGCACACAGCAAAGAGACAACTCAACTTTCAGCCAGTTCAGTTCACCAGCTAGGTCACCACACAGCCATAAAGTATTAGCACAGGAGAGGTAGTAGTGGTGATGTAAATACAGGCTGCTATCAAAACCACCTGTGGAAGCACGCTGTTGGGCCAAAGGAGGTGCATACATGCATGCCTGTGCTACTGCACAACGCTGAATATCCTGCCTCCTAAATGTGCACGTTCAAGTGTTTGAAAGAGCAAAACCAGACATCTTCACAACTGGCGATTCTTCTGTCATGATCAAGGAGAGATTGGTTTTAGGCAGTGCTCTGTACAATAACATAAGAAAGCCCTCCTTATTCAAGGAAATCATAACTTTCAGTAATGTCATTTCCTAAAAATGGCATCACTTTGAAAACAAGGATGGAAGACAACAAGTTCTTGTCTTTCTGACATGGATTAGGGATGAACAAGTAGTCTGTTTTCTGACGGATGTCAATTGCACGCAATTAGATCTTAATTAGAATGCTTTAATTAAACTTTAACTAAAAGAGTGCATGCCATTTGTTTTGCATCCTTCTTCTTATGCAAAAAAAGGTGTTTTCGGTATTGAGTCAATACTGCAGAATTGATCAGGAAAGAAAACTCGTACCATGTATTAGGATAACAGCAACATGTTATCTGTTCAAGGGACCTCAGGTCATTTTCTGGTAACATCCCAAAAGTTAGTCTTAACACTGAGCAGCTATACCATTAATCACAGTACAGTGAAGATGCACTCATACTTCCAGATAAGACTGTTAAAGTGCTCTGCTACCAGCATCACTTATTTCCAGGCTTGAAGACAGTTCTATTTCTCCTGGTTCCGATGCGTATGAAACCAGCCTGGTGCCCTTATGAGCCTTCCATACTACACCAACTGCAGGCACACACAGTTACATACATCAGGCTTTCCCCTGCCATTCTCAATAATGCTATCGAGGAAGGGAGCTCTGAAAGACTTGATCATCCCAATCCCCTTAGATTATTTCTCAAACATTTACAGTTCCCCTTCAGATGAATGAGTGCATCAGCTCAGCAAAATCAAGGGTGAAGTTGGCTCAGTAAAGATGACAAAAGCCCCAAAACACACACACACACACACACACACACACACACTGCATCTCCCTCCCCACTAGCATCCTTTTCTTAATTCCTTTTAATCTTCTGCCTGTGACTTTCAGCAATGCGTATTCCAGACTGCAAAGGTATTCTAATCAGTCCCCACTCTGAAATCGGTAAAAAGCACAACCACAAGCAAGCGGAGCTGTGAAGGAAGCAGACCTGACTGTATCCTGACTCTGCTGCACTTCCCATAAATATTGAATGCACCTTTTGGCAAGCCAACACACTGGAGACCGAGCGGTACAACACAGACTGTCAGCTCCTGCACACTGGCAATGCAACCTGACAGTCGTTATTTATAATTCATTAGCCTACTTTGGGGCAGCTCCTGCCAGCTGCTCCATCTCCCCTCCACCAACCCTTTCTCTGGGATGACTTACATCTCCCCAGCCAAGCCTCTAAGCACCAATTAACAAAATCCGGGCAGATAGCAGGGCAGCAAGAAGTGCTTTGTGTGCCACTGTGGGCAGACCACACAAACGACTGTCCACAACCACTAAGCCAAGGGAAGGACTGCTCCTCCCAGGCTCATAAATCACATTCAATAGCTATGGAAAAAATGAATTAAAATGCACCTGTGCTGAGAGAACAGCATAGCAAGAGATCACACATGGTGACCTAAAGGAGCTGTGATCTTGTCACCTATTTATCTTAAACCAACAAACCACTGAAATTTTCACTTAGGCTCCCCACAGTGGTATCAAGTTTATATCACCTTTTTAAGTGCATCAAGTTGCACGACATACTGCTAATGCATAGCTCTAGAAATTTTTCTTGAGGGCCTTCTGGATCATCCCTGGTGGGCAGATTACAGATGAGAGTTCTTCATATCATCACAGTTTGCAGCTTGTAAGTCCAGGATAAAGACTGCTGGTTACAAGCGAAGCGAAAAGCAGTACAGTGAAATAAGTGCTTCCCTTGCTTCACCCCGGAAGGCAGGAGCAACAAGGCTTTGCTGTGGTAGCACTGGCTTTGCAGCTGACAAGTGTGACACTGTACATAAAACGTGCTTTCCAAAACGGCAAAGCCAGCAGGAGCAGCTTTGCCCTGCACTGAACCCAGTGTGTAATAGCTGTGCTGCTTTAAAGCTGAAGCTACAATAGGCAGTGAAGCCGTCTTAAAGTGATCCTGTGCTGCAAAGCCTGAAAATCAAAAGGAGCACGATCTCTGCCTCCATACCACCAGGCTGGGCAATAGCAAGAGGCACCATCACCAGATAAATCTGGTGAGGCTATCCTTTACAACACCAAATTGCACATTTCTGTCCAGAAAACAGCTACACTAACCCATCATTTGCACTCTGCTAAGAGCTCTCTATACTTATCTTTTTGATGCATTTTCCTCTCAAGGAAGATTCCTGAAGGTTAGATCTGATTTTGAAGCCAGCCTTTATGCAACCTAATTTACAGGGGAGGGTTAGGCAGGGTCGCATCTGCAGCTGCCTATGCCTGCTGTTGCTAGCAGCAATCCTCCTGACCCACTCTCTCGGTGCAGAAGGCAAGGAAGGAAACTACCCAAAATGCTTTATTTTTGCAAAGTCTGTATTTCCTAGAAAGGAAAGTAGAACTGCCTACTAAAGACAGCTTCAGCTGCTAGAACTACTTATTGCTTCTGCAACCATGGAGACCTACTATTCACTTCAAAGCCCAGCCAAAATGCAAAAATGGCATTATGCACCTGCCAAAAGGCAGTGAGAAGGTCTGCAGGGTAAAGAGCAACCAGAAAAAAAGTTCCTAATTAAAAAAAAAAAATATATCCCCACGCCTAGAACAGATTTTCCAAGCCCTTCTTCATCTCTACTTCAGCATTCTCTAAGCAGCTTGCATTTTACATATACGTCCAGATGAGATGGTCTCTGTGGGCTCAATCAAAGCAAGCTGAAGCTGAAGCCTGTGATGTCAAAGGAAGACGGCTCTTTTGGCCAGATTTTCTTGCCCAGGTAACACCAGGAGTTTTGTTTCCCTACGGCAACAGTCTGACAGCAAAGGGAGCTATCTGCATAACATTTATATTTCTGTCATATATGCCATTCTTTACTGGTGAAATCAGTCTTTGTGAACTTTCAGCAAAGAGCTTGTAGCCATCTCAAGAGCCCTCCACGCAAAGGTTTCTGCTACTCAGGAGTCCAACCAAACCATGCAGCAAAACAGCTCTCAACTGCAACACAGGCTCAGCAGGATTCTCAAGAGGGCTTCTTTGGGCAAGCTCTTTTCTGCTGTGCCCACTGTGCCCAAGCAGTAACTGTGCAATCACCACGTGCCCCACCTGAGGTTTTGTCCTGACCTTACTTCTAGAGAGGAAAGGGAGGTGGTGGCAGTGTCAGCCGTCTGGATCCATTTAATTCTGGGCTTCTAAGATGAGAGTGAATCAGTGAGAGGCCAAATAGGAGGCGGTGCACAACAAGACAACTTGCTGCTTGTAGCTAAATCTCACATTCCCTGAAACCACTGTGGCTAGACCGGAGGTAAAAGGCTCCATTATCCATCCCCTGAGGTTTGCAGTTCCTTAGGATGAAGCGAGCGTCTGTCCACCATGCAGATTTCTGGTGAGAGAATCTGGAGAAAGCTCTTCCTGTTGTTTAGACAGATTGTGCCTTTTTATTTAATTTTATGCACTAAGTCATCTGATAATAGCATAATATGAATGAAAAAGAATGAGACTAGAAGATGGCCTCCCGCTTTGAAAATAAATATCTTGGCTGCACCAAGTCTTTTTACTAGCAGCAGGAGCCGATTATACAGCCACTGTTCAACTCCATTGGCTTTGTCTCAATTAATGAATACTGGGCAAGTTAGGCACATAAATCAGCCTCTTCTGCAATATTATTTAAGTTTCTCCTTCTCCAGGAAGCCTGCATTAAGGCTCTTTGCTCCCATTCCCCCTCCCTTTTTTAATGCAGCAAATTTTATCAACAAAATAAGGGCATCTTCTTTCGAGCTGAAAACATGACAACAATAATAATAGACTTAATCAGATTATTCTCAGCTCCACTAATCCTATTTAGATTTGCAAATAGCAATTAATACACAAATGGGAATACTAACATACTAGTTGCCTGGTATCCAACAGTTATTTTTCTGCGAAAACTACTATAACTACCGCCAACAAAAAGCATTAAAATATGCTAATCTAGATGACTCAGTCCTAGTCTGAATGTCAGAGCATAGGACTGGGAATATTTCAAGACATTATAGTTAAAAACAACAACTAAAAGCAGTGATTAAAGGCAAAAATTGAGCCAGCATTATAAAGTTTCTGAAGATTACTCGCTGGTTCAAATATCCTTACAAATAGGTGGCAGCACTCAGTCCACTATGCCATACTCCAGCACTGGCCAAAAGCAGACACCTAGGCAGGAGTGAAAGGATGAGTGCCCTCTCAGCCC